TATATCTTGGGGACGTGGTTGTCTCCGACGTCCCTTCATCCCTACCCCTAGCTTGCGGATGTAGTAGAGTGATCGCGGTTGACAACTCACGACCAAACATTAGTATAGCCGGAGTCTTTCCTGTCGTGAGACTAATCTTTCTGTGCCGTTTCAAAAGAAATCGAGCAAGTCGGCACGATAAACTTCGTGTCATGTCCTTAGAAAACGCCTGCTTGGTTTCGTAAACCATCCTTTCCGCTTGACCATTGGTCACTGGATGATAGGGGGCACTTGTGACGTGGCGAATTTCGTTATTTTTTAAGAACTGTTCGGTCTCGCCTGACACTAAAGGCCTGTTCACACATGCAGCTGAGCGCTACAAGCTAGTGCCACTAAATAAGCTACGCTTCAGAGTAACGACACTTGGCCATATTGTGTCGTAAAATCATGGTTGCCAGTTATCTGAAGCTTTATCTGAAATCACAGGAAACGCCTTTCCGCCCTCCACAAATGTTTAAACAGTTCGTGACAGAGCAAAGCGATATGGCGTGACCTTTCCACAACCGAATCTAATGCTGAAAAAGTCGCACTTTTGAATAATGACGATCGGCAGTTGCGTCTGCTCTGCATACGAGCCAAAATGGCGGCGCCCACAACAATGCCGGGGAACGGAGTGCCGATACTCTAAGCGCAGCTCATTTAGTGGCTCTACTACAAGCATAGCGCTGACCTCACGTTCAGCGCGTGCTATCGGGAGCGTTCACCAGCTTTGAATGGCACGGTCAAAACTGTTGCTCATGGCAGACGATAAGTAGCTGACGGCACGTGAGCAGTGCTACATCAGCGCTTCGCTGCATGTGAGAACCGTCCTTAATAATGTACCATTGTCACTAACAACCTGGCGTGGTACGCCGAAAGTTCCGAACAAGTTACGAAGCTCCTGAACCAGTGAGCTCGAGTTGATACTTTTCATTTGACTAATTTCCAGCCATTTGCTGAAGGCGTCAACTGCTATCAGGAACATTTTACCCTCAATGGGACCAGCGAAGACGATGTGCAGTGTATCCCATGGTCTCGGTGGTCGTTGCCATCGAAGGTAAGATGTTGCTAATAACAGTTGACCTATTCAGCAAATGGCTGGAATTTTGTCAAATGAAAAGTATCAACCCAAGCTCACTGATTCAGGAACTCTGACGTCCTGGAAAATACAACACCGAGTATTCGAGCTGTAGTGTGTTCTTACTACGCGGATACGACACTGGTGGCGGGGATGGGATACACCGCACATCGACTTCGCTGGTCCCATTGGAGGTAAAATGTTGCTAAAGGCGTCGACTGCTATCAGAAACATTTTACTTTCAATGGAACCAGCGAAGTCGATGTGCAGTGTATCCCATGGTCTCGATGGTCGTTGCCATGGAAGGCAAAATGTTGCTGATAGTAGTTGACGCTTTCAGCAAACTAGCTTCTACTGATTACCGAAATAAAAATGGAACTGAAAGTCGCTAAACTACTTAGAAAAGTAGTTAAACTACAGTAACTTGAGTAGAGTAGTTGAACTACGAACAAGTCTGATTAAAACTCTGTACCGTTTTGACGTTGCATGTACGCAAAAATGCCACATTAAAAAAAGAAAAAAAAAAAAGAAATCGTTATGTCCACACAAAAATTTAACATAATTGCCTTATCGCTTTTACGGATCAGATTTTGAAGGTACGTGTGATGAGCGAGAAAATTCATAACTTGGCGCCTAAAAACACGAAAATATTGAGGTGTATATTTTTAGAAGTTTCGGGAAGAAGTAAGGGAGTAACGTAACTATGTTACCCGCTACTCAAAATAAGTGACGCAAGAACGCTACACATTACTGTTTTGAAGAAGGTAAGGAGCAGATTACACCGCTGCCGAAAAAACTTGTATTGCAAATTGCCAAGTAATTGCGTTGCATGCGTGCAACGTTCTAGCATAGCGTGAAATCAGGTCACCTGACGACAATTTCCCCGCTAAATTTAGCGGGAAAACTGAACTTTGCTTTGAGGTCAGGTGACGTCAATTTTCCTAGTGAATCTAGCGGGGAAGCTGAATTTGTATATAGGTCACGTGACACAAAGTCATGTGACGTCATTTTTCCTGCTAAATTTAGCGGGGAAACTGAATATGTGTTGAGGTCACGGGACGTCGATTTTTCAGCTAAATCTAGCGGAGCAACTAAATTTGTTTACGGTAATAATTGAGGCCGGAGGCGACTTCGGCAAAACTTGTGGAGTCGCTAAAGTTGAAGCTTGGCTGAGTTGGTACGACATGCTTAAAAGGTTAAGACAGCGCAACAAAACGACGGACTGGATGAAGAAGGACACAGACAGAGCGCTGACTCGCAACTAAATTTTATTGGACGCAACGGTGCAATATATACACGCACAGCTGAGAACGGTGTTTTTCGGCGTAAATTGTTGGCGGAGAACACAACGTCGGGGTTTATCGGGGGTTGGAGAAAATAAAACACTTGCACGGGGATTCCCCAACCGCGTGCGTCCCGAATACTTAGCGATACGTGAAGGGAGAGAGGTTCTTGATGAAGGAACCAGCCTTGCGGACAGTTCGTTTAGGGCCATGTTCCGGGTCAAACACAAGATAAAGCTGTAGATAAGAAATTTCTTCCCATGAGAGTGTTCTTTTCATTGTGTGTGCGTGCGCGCGCGTGCGTGCGTGTGTGTGTGTGCGTGCGTGTGTGTGTGTGCTATAGGGTAATGCTTATCTGGGATGTTTTGGTTTTTTCTGATTTTGATAAAACCAGCTTGGGGGTTACTTGTAGGGGTTTATTGGCATTTACCGAAAACCGGGAACAGAATAGGCCTTGACGGTGGCGCCAACAAAAATAGCAGCTCTTTCGCATCAGTCCCAGTTTATGAAACCGCGGCAGTCCCCGGTAAAAGACGGGTCGTGGGTGTGAGGCACTGAGATCACGTGTAAGCGAAAGGAGGAGGCGAGAGGGCGGCGAGGGACATCTAAACGCCGAGCTCTAGTCGTCCGCATTCGAATGCGACTTGAAGCTTTGTCTCCGATGCACTCGTCGGACTAGCGCTGGTGACATATCAGCTAGCTCGACAGGCTTGCAGAGACGGAGGGTACGGAAGTCGCTTGGGATGGAAGCAGCGGCTCATGTTTGCAAAAGAGTAAAAGTGTCTATAGACCGTTTTTTCGTGTGTAACGCGGTTTCGAATACTCTCGCGCCATGGAGGGAGCGGCAGGTTCCGCGGCCATGCTGAGTGGGTAGAAACGTTGGCGAAAGTCTCTTCGGGGCGCCGCTCCCGCCTTGGGTCTGCTGGTTGGGTGCTTCCAAGTGCTGGGTACTCGGCTGAGGGCCTGTCTTGTGTCTTGCGTCTCGCGGATGGTATTTTTCAGCTCATTGGGGAGGTTTCTCGCCTCGCATTATGGCGTCCACCAGTGCGGCCATGCCGACAAGAGCGGCACTGAACGCGCCACCGATAGAAATCGGAGGTGAATACTCAAAATATTGGAGAGTTTACGGCGATTAAATTTCCCTTCGGTTTTTTTTTTAATCGTTTTAGATGCAGTACATCGATACTAATTTTGTCGTTTCGTGTCGTCCACAAGCATAAAATTTAATGTGAACAAGGACGCGCGTGAAGAGATTATTGCAAAGAACGACCGAAGGCAGCTGCCTCCGGCTTACAGATGTTTATAAAAGTTTTAATTGAGGGTCCCGTGCCGACGAGCGTGTTCTTCGTCTAGAACGGAAAACAGTAATGTCAAGGCTAATGTTGCTAAACCACTCTAAATGTAAGTTTGTCTGTTTTTCTCCAAAACATTCCCCATCTCTTTTCAAATACTCTCTAGGCTCATCAGCAATTGAGTGTATTCAATCGTACAAATACCTTGGCGTTCATTTTTCTTCCCGTATGTCTTGGACCCTCCACATTGACTCCATACATGCCGAAGCTTCCAGAACGCTTGGTTACATTCGACGTTGTCTGCACTCAGCCCCTCCAGCTTTGCGCCAGCTGGCCTACGAAACTTTTGTGCGTCCGAAGATTGAGTATGCAGCTGCCATTTGGTCCCCACACCAGATTTACCTCACTAACACCTTAGAATCTATTCAGAATCGTGCTGCCCGATTCATTGTTTCTAATTATGAACGCACTGCCAGTGTGTCGGCCATGAAGGCTTCCTTATGCCTACCCACTCTCATTTCTCGCCGAAGAATATCACGCATCTGTCTTTTCCAGTAGATTTTTTTATTACCACCTCTACTCAGACAGTCTCTGCTGTTAGAACCGCATCGTTCATCCCGACGACTTTTTAACTCCCTTAGTGTACGTCGCATCCATGGTTCCACTGTCACCTTTAACAACTCATTTCTTCCCCTTGCCATAATAGAGTGGAACAATCTACCGGACCATGTAGTGCTCATCAGTGACCCCGACCTCTTCAGACATGCTGTATCGTCTATATTTAATTAATATGTAATAAGTGCGATGCTCCTACCTAAGGCCAGTGCTCAGCCACATCTTGTTTCTATGTTTTATTATTTTTTTTATTGTATAAAAGTTCTACTTGTGTGCTTCTTTGTATAGCCCCCCCCCCCCCCCCCCCCCCCTATGTAATGCCCCTGGCGGGGCCTTTAAGGAATAATAAATGAAAGGTGGGCCCATTGCCGGAGCTAGTCGATCAATGATTCAGCGATTCGGAATGGATGCATTAGGTTGTTTCAGCAATAAAAATATAAGATTTCTTTCCAGCTACGTTAAGTAGTTATTTTCAAAATAAGAAGAACCCGGTCGCCGCTGCGACGGTCAACGTAAGTTTACTGCTATTTGCCATCGCGTAGGAGATCGCGATAAAGGAAAACCGATAGAACTACATTTAGGACAATTTCCAGCCACACCGGGCTGCCAAAATGAGATTTCAACGAAACGTTGTCGATGATAAAACCGAGTCAATGTCGCCACTGATATCAGCATTAAGATACATTAACTTACAAAAAGTTACAAGCAGAAGCAGGCGATTATTACGAGAAAACTTGCACCCTCCTTGCGAGCGAAGCCCATGTTGATCGACGTAACCGCTGTAAGTTTGGTACGAGCTCTATTCACGAAATATTTCGCGCACTCTCACGAGGATGCCGTCGGGTAAAGATCTTTTCGGTTTACAGACGCAACCCACTGCCGCCAGAGGTTTAGGTCATTTGGAAAGTGATGGAGCTTGGAGAAATTGCAGCCGCAGTCGCAAAGGAAGACATCTGTAACAACACTCGTTGTTACAGATGTCTTCCGGTAATATTCTGCCCTTTCGGTTGTTAATCGTGCAGCCTATAATCAAACAATGATGTCCCGATGACCACGGGTCGTCATCATTGATTCAACTAGCTGTAAAAATATCTGGATGTTGAATAAAATAGAGGAAACCGCGAAGAAAACAACCGAACTTGAAAGAAAACACGTGTCCAAAGCGTCCCATCCAGTTTTTTCGCTCTTTCCTAACCACTCTGTGGAAACCTTTCCCTTTTCTCCCCCTCAAGCTCCATGTCGGTGCCTGTCTTTCCCTTCATCAGCCACCACAACGCAGCCCTTACGATGCACATACGATATACACTTAGGTAATGACCGTTATTGACGTGGCCATGCTTAATTTCGGAAAGGGTCTATTCTCGGCGGCGAATCAGTTCGCGGCCCTCTGCGCATGGCGTGCGGTCATGACCCAAGGGCGCGGGCCGACGCCGATTGCAAAGAAACCTCTATGGCGGAAGTGTAAATAGGGTATTCTCAGGACGGTGAATTCCGACAAGCATCTCAAATTTAACTACTTATAATTGTCAATAAAATTGTTGAACGACGGGTAATAAGCATTATGAAACTTCCACAGAGAAGTGCACCGTTGTCGCAGTTTATAGCGATTTGAAGGAAATCCTAATACTCAGTATTATAATATTATGTATTGTCAAGTAATAATACTGATATAAAAAGTAAGGCAAAGGAGGGTGAGTGCGCAAGCGAGAAATATAAGTACGCTATTCGTGAAAGGTAACAGTGAAGCGCGTGATGCAGAAGAGCGCGATGCAGCTAATGCGTTGATTTGTGTTCACTATACTCTGTTTCACCTTATGTTGTACCGCAGCGAAGTCTGGGAGAGCGAACTCATAGCGTTGGCAGCTGCCCTTACTGCACGAGAGTTTGTGCCGCCGAGATGTGCCCCAGAACAAGGAGCTCGCGCTTGTAGCCTTTCCTTGTGTACATCATAAGGTGAAATAGGGTATAAAAAGCACTGACAATAGCATACATCAATGCGAGTGAAATGGCCCATTGCCAGATCGGCTCGTATCGTTTTTATTTTTTTTATTTTTCAAGAATGGATCGAAGTGAATGGACGTCACCTAGAGGCTAAAACAAAGTTGTGGCGGCAGGTTCGCTCGATAGCCTCCCATACAAAAATGTCCTATGGTCGGCTTCAGCTATTCGGCCCAATCAGCGGAAGCATTTTCTATAACTGTCTTTAGCATTTTTTATGGTCGCCTTTATGGGCCTCTTTAGCTTTTTCTATGGCCCTACCGCTGTCCAGCCATAGAGCTGTTTAGCTTTTCTAATGGTTGGTTAAATACTTGGCTTACCCTATGGCTCTCTTTAGCCAGCAAACTCAAAAAACAAAAACAAAAAAAAACTACTTCAAGTTCCCCCGACCTGTAAACGCTACATGGTAGATATACTGTGCATGCGTACATCTCTCAACACACAGAATACAGGCATATGTAGAGGGGGTTGAGCACTAGCTATATATATGACCGTCTAATTTTTGAATTCAACTTTGCCGGTGACCCATCATTTGTCGCAAAAACACAGAGAGGCAGAGCAAATATTACTCGTACTTAATACTTTATTTGAATTGACTCTTGGAATAGCCCCCATCTCTAAAATATCCTATGACTGACATAGGACTTACGCCTCTTGAATCTAGACGTGCTGCAGAACGGCTCAAGCTCCTACATAAAATAGTGAATAATAACTGTGCACTTAATCGGGGAGGAAAAATATCTTGGTTCTGTTATTGAATCACTCACCCGAAGCTTTCATCCATTAAATCTTGTACCCTACAGAGCCCACCTTAACTCTTTTAAATATTCGTTTTTTCCTCGAACGATAGAAAATTGGAATAACATAAATGAATCAGTTCGTTGTCTCGATTTTGATAGGTTTGTATTAGAAATACAGTAGGTGTTCTGATATGGTGCCTGGAATCTGTAATTGAAGTGTGTGTGTTTGTTTTTGTACTCTTTTTATTTTGCCTTTTTCACGGTTTTCTATGTTTTGTTTCGTACGGTGTGTACATCTTTAATCGATGACCTTTTTGAATGTATATGTATGGTTTCTCTCCACTCCTGCGATGACCTCATCGAGGTCGCAGTATTTTGAAATAAATAAATATAAACTAAAATATATTAATTATCTTTTTAATAAGTTTGATGAATCGTGTTGACAATGAAGTGTTGAAACGCAGTACACTGGTGGTGAACATTGGAATCAAGCTATTGCTTGATTGCAGTGTAATTTATCTTCAGTTTTGGTACGGTAATAATTTTAATTGCTGCACAAGTATTGCAATGATTTTTTCAAGGAAATAATATTACTGGTTTCCAAGACCCGTTGCAACAGCAGAGAACATATCTTGGGTCACGCTTTGCCAACGGTATTACAGAAATTTGGTACTGCTTTAATTTTCTAAGCTGGAGCGTTTTTCCTATAGAAAGTAGGTGGCGGGGATTATCAAGGCCCACGAACCATGACTTGGGTATCACAGCAGACGACTAAAACGAGACTGTTTTTAGTGATATAATGCGACCGCTTGAAAACATCAAGTTGCCCAAGTCAGAAAGTAAAAAAACCTGTGTTGAGAGTTTTAGTAGATCGTTTAGCAGACCACCGCTGCCGCCGCGAGCATGGAGGAGGAATTTTTAGACTCGTTGCCATAAAAGTTTCATTGGACGGGTAAAGAAAATTTATTGGTTGCCAGTCTTTAGACCCGGTGCCATAGAATTTTCTAGAAGCGGGTAGAGAAAATCTATTGACTCCCAGCCTTTAGAAATAGGACCATAGAACTGGCTGTAGATGTATTTATGGATGGCCGACAATAGAAGGCCAAAGGGGATGATAACCTGCCGCAGAATTTTCCATAGACGTCCATAGACCATTTTTGTATGGGCTTCTTGAGCGATGCAGATATTTACGGCACCTGGCAATCTATAGAGGCTTTCAGCGCGCGTCAGACTAAGCCGCCATAGACGACCTTCTCTTGTCTTAGCGTGATACCGAGCCACTGAAGCGGGCGTTGACGTGTCTCCAAAAGGGCCTATGCTGGGCAGAAGGACAGAGTAACACTTAAAATGCCCTGTCCTGTTGCGGTAATGATGAAGTGGAGCGAACGGAATAAGAGGGAACAAAAACTAAAGGTCTGTTAAATTGGCGCCCTTGCACAGCTGCCTGAAAGCGTCTATACTTCCTCTCACTTTAGCATGGACTATTTTTAACCGCGCATGCTAAGTGCGAGCTAGTTACTTTGGATGAAGACTCGGCGGCTGCACGAGCGCTAATGCAGTGAGTGCTCCAGTCAAGGCAGTCAAGGCTAGCTGTTCGCGCTTGCACAGTCTTCGAAGTTAGTCCATGCTAAGGTAAGACGAAATATAAAGACGAAGCCGTTAAAGTAGGTTTAAAAACACGTAACGAAAATTGCTAATTGTTTCAAGAACAAATATTTTTGAGTTTGAGTTCTAGCCATGCGCTTGACCAATCGGGTGTTTTCGTGATACTCTAACCTACACCAGGTTCAACCTGGGATTGGCCCTGACAGCCATGGACGGGACGCAGCGATGCACGATCTGGGTAGTGGCCTTGGTCCTCCTGGCGAGCGTTCACTCCACCGCCGAAATCGTCGAGTTCGAGGTAGAGCACGGACCGCTGCAGAACGTCATTTACCTCAGCATCGATGACGGCGTGGTCGTGGTGGGCGGCCGTAACGCCCTCTACAAGCTATCCCCAGACCTTAAACTGGAGGCCAAAAAGTCCACGGGACCCCGTCTTGATAATCCCCAGTGCACCCCGGACCCTTTGGAGTGCGCTGAGGGCAGAACTTTCACAGACAATGACAACCAGGTACTCACAACGTTTGGTCCTGTATATCCCCTTGTGCTCGCTTGCGGGACCATCTGGCAGGGTATCTGCTCGTTTCATGATGTACGGAAAAAACTGAACGTCTCTATAACAATGGATAAAAAATTGTACGTCAACTACGTTGCCTCTCGTGTCAGCACGGTGGCACTCTCCTTGGGGCACATCCTGTTAGCCGCGTCTACCTACGACGGCCGCCCGTTCAACTACCACCCATTCTCGGTGTCGGCGCGCGTCCTGAACTCGGACGGTTCCGACTTCAAGTTATACTGGTTGGAATATTATGGGTCCTCCTCCATCAACATAAGTCGGTCGCTGAAGAAGTCCTACAAGGTGCGCTACGTGTACGGCACGAGCCGTGACATATTCGCCTACTTCATCGCGGTGCACAACACGGGCCTGGCCCTGGAACTGTTCGAGACACGGATATCGCGGGTCTGCGTGACCGACCGTACCTTATTGACATACACCGAGCTGCCCATCCGCTGTGGCAGGGGAGAGTTCGGGTTCCCGATCGCCCAGGCTGCGTCCGCCGGACCAGGGTTCCATGGGGGCGACGGACTGGTACTGGTGGCCTTCGGCAAGCCCTCCGGAGGCCGGATGCAGGAGAACGACGCCAGCGCCGGCTCGGCCGTCTGCTCTTTCAGGATGGACGACGTCCATGATGCCTTTTACGGAGCCATCCGAGAGTGCGATTTGGGCAAGCCGACGTCCAAGTTGTCGCAACTCTACCACCAGCGCGGCACAAACTTGGAGTGTCATCGCCAAGTAAGTTCATTGTTCTTTTCCTCGTGCAAGCAAACTGAATATTCTAATAAAAAAAAAGAAGGCGAAAGATGAAAAGGGTTATCAAACTACAGTCGTCCTGAACATCATCTTACCGTTCCTCACTCAACGAGATTTCGACATTTATCAGTAAGAGCGCCAACGAACGCCGATGTATGAACGATGGTTCAATTGCGTTCACGCGCTTCGTGCACGAAGCGTGTGAACGTAATTAAATGAAGCAGGGAGGATCAAAAGGGGAGACTTGACAGATGCGATGTATCAGCGCAGAGACCATGAGAACGTGATGCTTATTAACTGAGCGCACTTCGCCTTTCTTTGGTTAATGGTAAGTATTTTGAGCTTCACCATTTACTAAAACCCCCTCTGCCCACTCAAAAGGCCCCTTATTAAATGCGTGACCAAATTCCGTGACACGCTTCTTCATTTTAGATATATTTAGCTCGGTCACAGCTGATTTCGTCGTCAAGTTACCCACTGGGACTGCAGTGAACAATCGAACAAACATAATATTGTATTTTTCGACCAGAAATCAAGAAGGTTCTTTTGCGAGCCCATCGGGAATAGCTTCATCGAAGGAACGATTCCCCTGTCCGGAACCCTGGTGCTGCACCTTCAGGACAGGCTGGTCACGTCGGTGACTGTCCTGCGACAGAACATGAGTGTCGTCGCCTGGATTGGGGACAACAAGGGCTTCCTGTACAAGGTACGTGAACCAACTTGAACGTCCTTCAGCGGTGCCTGTACCTGTTGAGACCCCGAGTGTAGCGAGCTAAAGGGCCGAACGAAAGATGGGGTCTCAAACAAAGTGGACCATTATCAAACTTGTTTAAGTTATTGTGCACCAAGGAGTTCGTGGTATCCAAAGCTTACTTGACAAAAGGTCAACTATTTAGTTTCAGTTTTTATGTTTTACAGGGGAGAGGAAAGGGATCCTATAATATAATTTCAGATTTCACCTTCTTACCTGTAGGCCTTATAACACGTAAGTGATGCCCTTCGGACTCTGTACGGCTCCGGCGACTTTCCAGCGGGTCATGGATACTGTACTAACGGGACTGAAGTGGCAGAGCTGCCTCGTTTACCTGGATGACGTCGTCGTTTTTTCGCACGACTTCGACGAGCACTTGAAACGGCTTAGGGCCGTGCTCCAAGCCATCAAGACCGCAGGGCTCACACTCAAGCCAACGAAGTGCCGCTTCGCCTACGCCGAACTTAAGTTCCTTGGTCATGTCGTTAGTAGCGAAGGAGTACGCCCTGACCCCGCGAAGACATCCGCCGTAGCCGAATTCCCTCGACCATCGGACAAGAAGGCCATCCGCAGATTCCTGGGGCTGTGCGCGTACTACAGGCGCTTCGTTCAAGATTTCGCAAAAATTTCGGCGCCCCTCACACATCTTACGAAAGACGCCGTGAAGTTTCACTGGGCAGAAGAACAAGAACGGGCGTTCGACGAACTGAAACAAAGACTTCAGACACCTCCGATCCTCGGACATTTCGACCAGCACGCCGAAACCGAAATTCACACGGACGCAAGTAACTCCGGCCTTGGTGCGGTATTGGTACAGCTACAGGAAGGCACGGAGCGAGTTATTGCCTACGCAAGTCCGACACTGTCAAAAGCGGAGAAAAATTACTCCACGACGGAAAAAGAATGTCTCGCGGTTGTATGGGCGATCACAAAGTTTCGTCCGTACATATACGGGAACCCGTTCCGGGTGGTCACAGACCACCACTCGCTCTGTTGGCTTGCAAACCTCAAAGACCCTTCAGGACGCCTGGCTCGATGGAGTCTTCGACTGCAAGAATTTGACATGACCGTAGTCTACAAGTCAGGACGGAAACATAGCGACGCCGACTGCTTGTCCAGAGCCCCCGTCAAAACGCCAGACTGTACCGACGTGGATGATGACGAGTGTTTCCTAGGTGCCGTGGACACCAACGACATGGCAGGACTTCAACGAGACGATCCGGAGCTCCGCGCCCTGATTGAGCATCTAGAAGGACGAGGAAGTACCGTTTCTCGTGTCTTTTCACGAGTCCTGCCGACCTTCGCTATTCGAAGAGGTGTACTTTATAAGAAAAATTTTGGAACCAGTAATTCGTCGTGGCTTCTGGTAGTCCCCACCAGCCTTCGAGAAGAGATTCTTCAAGCCTGCCACGACGACCCAACTTCAGGACACCTCGGTTACAGCCGAACACTAGCCCGAATACGTGAAAAATACTACTGGCCCAAGCTGCCGAAAACCGTCCATCTCTACACGCGATCGTGCCATGAGTGCCAGCGACGCAAGAAACCGCCGTCAAAGCCAGCAGGTCGCCTTCAGCCGATTCCCCCTCCAACCAAACCGTTCCAGCAAATTGGAATGGATTTGCTGGGCCCTTTTCCACCGTCGACCCTGGGAAACCGCTGGATAATCGTCGCCACAGATTATCTTACGCGTTACGCCGAGGCGAAAGCCCTTCCTTCGGGGACTGCTGTCGAAGTCGCGAAGTTCTTCATCGAGTCCATCGTCCTCCGGCACGGCGCCCCCGAAGTCCTGATCACAGACCGAGGGTCATCGTTCATGGCGCAGTTAACCCAGGAGATCCTTCGTCTAAGCCAATATTGTGCTCAAATATTGTTGCTAAACATTCCAAGGAGTGTGTCTTTTACTCAGAAACAACGGTACTCACAGTAATTATTTGTAATAGTCTATAAAACAGCGTCCCCAAACGCTCCCAGCTGCCATGTTTTCGCTTCCCCGCATAGACTGCCTCCTCTTCTCGCTGACACGTTTCCGTGGCAACCGCATCGTGTCTTGCGAAAAAGAAACATATATGATATTCTTTAAAGAATGCAAAAAGAAAACAAAACATAAAGAACCTTTTTTTTTGTATCTGGAAACATTTTTATCACGCGCTAGGTGACTATTTTCATCACAGTTAAACCAAAAAGAAAATACAAATGCTTCCAAATCGCGTTCCAAAGAATGCAAAGGGGAAGGACGCCAGGACAGCGGTCAAAAGCCTCATGGCCAGTGCATCAAAGATGGCCGCGCTCGAGTCAGGGCTGGCTTCCACGGCGTTACAGTGTTCGTGCTGGAACAGCGGCTGGGATCGTCATAAAGTCAGCTCCCAGCGGGCGCGTGCTCTATCTATGCTTCAATGTGACAGCACGAATTCTCGCTAGCAAAGCGAAGCTGTAGTTTACGGTCTACTAAAAGTCCTTAATCTGTCATGTTTAAAAAAAACATTTATAAAGAATCAATTTTTTGTAGCAACAATAATTTAAATCGAAATAATCTGATTCAAATAAAATAAATCTTATTTATTTTATTCTTTTTCACATTGCTCTTAATCCGTAGCAGTTATAGATTCTCTTTGACGTCAAAGTACACCATGACGTCGCGTAATGCGATTACGTAACCGTGACGTCACCTGAGGCCACCTAACACCGTGACGACATCATGGTGCCTTCTGGCGTTAAGTGACTTCATTACGTCGTTACCTCAGGCCACACGACACCCTTAAGTCAGGTGAATTTACAGTTTCACCTGAGGTTGAGGTGCCACGTGACGTCACATGACATTGACGGCGTTTTTGTATGTTCAGAAAACCCTCGAACTCTGCCCTTCAGGGGCCATTTTCACTATACCAAACGAAGACCGGGACACTTTCCTTGGTTCTCGAAACACCGGGCATTGTGCGTGCGTATGCAAACGAGTAGGACGTGGCTTAGTCACCTCACCCCACGAGTGCATCTGCGAGCTCGATGTCAGTAATCCCGTCTAGTAGCAGTAAACTACAACTGAAATTCGGTCACCTTAATTGAGCCCTACACTTATTTTATTTCGAAACGTCCGCTTCTTGTTACTTCATTGGGCGAAAAGCAAGCCGCATCCTCACAGGAGTATCGAAGTTGAGCCCAGCGTTGACGCATGAGCGTATAAGAAAACGCAATAAATTCCACCTCACTTCTCCACAAAAGTTTGTGTGATCTCTTCCTTGTGTCATCGCATATCTCACACTAAAATTTTATGCTGATAGAAGATTAAGTTTTCGCAAACGTGAGACCGACTAGCTGCGACAGAGGCCCTAACAAGCGTCCCCTACTCCTCGCTAAGCCTTTTTGGACGAGCTTTTACTGACTGCCTGAACGGTGTGTCTGAAATTCAATGGCGCCTTTGAGTTTTACCTCGCGTTAACTGCAAAAAGTTATATTTCGTCTACGGGCGCACAAAACAAACAAACTTCCTGATCAACAACACTAATGTAAAGGCGCCCAGCTGGATGCTCGCATACTTATTCGTTGCTACAGCTGGTTGATTCGTATAGATTCCCGAGCTTCGCAGCAGAGCCGTATATGTAGAGAGTTTGGCCATTCGTTGGGAAGTATAGGAGACAAATGAAGCGGCGCCATTGGCCGAAAGCGGGCTGGGCGTGTTCCAGGGCGTCTTCAGAAATTCGAATGTGACCAACCAGAAGCCGGAAATAATACCCTGGCGGTGGTCGCGAGAAACAAACCTGATAACTGCATTGGAGTAACTCTTGATGGCTGAAAATATGGTACACGTGATGTTTCAATCACACTCATCTAAAATGATGGTGGAAGAGTGCGACTAGCGGAAAGATCGACATAATCCTTACGCCAAACGCCGAGCGCCGGGAATCTGCCCGTCAGAGCGGTCACACTCTTTCCGCGCAAAACAGAGTTGAGCGGTGCATTCGTTTCTTACATCTTTCTGCATGATCATGATGAAACAACACGTGAACCCTATTTTCAACCACAAAGAGTTACTACACTTCACTCTTACGCACTTATTTAAACCATATACGAACATAGACCTTCGATGATCGATCGGCTCAGAACTGTTTCTCGCTACCACCGCTAGGGGATTCTTTTCGGCTTCTGGTTGGTCAAGAGAGCATGCCAAGCCCTCTTTCCGAGTCTGCCGCACGCCCTGGCTCTGCCCGCGCCTCCCATTGACCAAACTCTCTACATATACGGCTCTGCTTCGCAGCGTCGAGATTCCCAGCACTGGCTCGTCCACATACCTCGAAACGCTAACAGAAAGGCTCAAGTACAAAAATATAACAAGCATGCGTTAAGACAAGCTGTCTTGGGCTTGTGCTAAAGCTTCGAGGTCTGGCCATTTAAACCAGATTAGAGACCACAGATGACGCTCTCGGGACCAGAAAACATGAGATAACGGCCGTTAATAGTCCATGCTCTATGTATAATTTCTTGTCGACGTGTGGATCGAAACCGAAGCCACGCCACTCTCCTCCCTAACCAACTAGTTCCCAGAGTGCAACGTGCGCCGTGTTGCATGCAGGTATTTATAAAAGTAGTCTATTTACCCCTTTCGGAGTAGAGCGCCACCTGTTGCACGCAACCACAACTAGGTCCGCCGCCATCACGCAGGGGTCCCGCCAGAACCGCCTGTATTTTACCGCCTACAACGGTGCTGCTTACACTTTGAGTCCCAGTCTGCGCGCGCCGCATCAATACGCCATCGCATTGCTGCGTACCTTTGTGTACGCAGGATCGATACGTTGACGGAGACGGAAAAAAGGTACGTGTCAGACAAATTCTAAAGTGTTCAAAAAGAAAAACCGAGTCCTCGTGTTGTTTACAAAACTTTCGCGGGTTAGACAAGAAAACGCTCTTTTCATCCGTAAGCGGAAGCGTCGCAAACGATTATATGTTGTGGTACTGTGGCCGTGTGTCGCGCCCCGTCTTTAACTAGAGAGGTACAGCCGCGGTTCAGTGCGCGGCTCGCATGCGCGAGCGGCTCCCTCCTTCAGTGCTTCTTCACTGGAACCGAGGCCGTTTCAGGTACTAGTTCGGCGTGTAGATGCATGATTACTTCTTCCTCAAGTTCGTTTCCTTTACTTTATTTCGCAAGTTCGGTTCCTTTACATTTACAATGGCCATCCAACGACTGGCCTTGTACCCCAACTGCCTCCATCACAGTATACGGATCCTGGGTCTTCTTTTTGCTTCAGCAGCAGGAACCCTTGACGAAGAAACTTCCCGCACTGAATGGGATAAAAAAAAATTATACACCGGTTTTACACTAAAAACCGCTGTGCATATTTTCTGTGCAAATAAATATCAGTTCCAGCACACTTTTTTTTTTTTTTTTTTTTGCAATGTCACATTTCGAGTGGGTTCAAACAAACGTGGTAAGTTTACAAACGCCGTTAAATAAACCCAATAGATCGGTGGTTCTGGAAAGTCTACTCTGTAGCTTTGTGAGGAATGCCACAAACCGCTTAACTTGTTAGTCTTCAAAAGGTTACCGAGGAAGGAATTTAAAATGGGGGGCTGCCTGCCACCCGCCCCTACAACCCTTTCTGCTGTTCCGTACGATTTGCGATTGCGATTTCTTGAACACTCAAGGTTGCGACTCGTGAGGCACCTTTTGCAGTTACTGGTACGCGGTCTTAAGTTTATTGGAGGGGTACGAAAAACGAAACGAGCGAGTTCTCGGCTGTCACCGAACGACAAGCGTACCGGGTAGTTCGGAGTGGCCACGCTAAAAGCGCGATCACTATGATTATCTGTATTAAAATTATGGAATGTTACTAAAAAAAATCGCTACAAAACAAGAAAGAGCTTGCCTGTTCCGTGAGTAGTTAGCCCTTATCGATGCGGGGACCACGTATACTTTGACGACAAAGTTGTAGCTTCTTTCCATGCACCGGTCTGTGCCTGACCGGCTCCTGTAAAACTGCTCCACCTTTCTGTCACTTATATGTGGCAGTATCGATAGATCATTAGACCAACAGGTGATCGGGAAAACACCCGCACAAGCCATAGCTCAAAACGCTACGGCGGCTACGCTGCACGCCGACTGGTCGAACGCAAGGTCGAACGAGACGAACCCTGCGTAATGACGGCGATTACCCAATGTTGCTAGATGTTTTACTATTCCGGCTAAATTTTTTTAAGTGTTGCCAAAATTCTGAAAGGGGTCTATTGACGGACTCCTCCGCGCCAGCTGCACTCCGAAGAAAAACTGGTAGCACATGTAGCTACGTATATCTGCCATTATCTGTATAAATGTGTGTGTTATGTGCCTGTTTTCATAAACATTATCATCATCGTTTACGCCACTCCGTGCGAAGAGCACGTTTGATGAAACTTCCTGCATCTGGGGGGTTGTGTGTGTGTTTATACAGCCTAGAACTTGGTCTGCCTCACAGGGGCGACGAGTCTCCCAGCTGTAGATGAGAAATTTAGCCAGTGCGGTACAACCGCTAGCCTGGGGTCTTTAACGTGCATCACACAGTAGTGATACACGACCGCACGCCGGTACGATGCTCATCCAGATCGAAACGGGCAGGGGTGGGGCTTGAACCCAGGATCCCTGGCTTCTGCAGCGCGAGCTTTCGCTCCACGTGCTCCGAGCTGGTGTGCGCTAGACCACTCGGCCACCGATCCCCTTCTGCATCTGGGGAAACTTTCAACTATGGAAGTCTAGATCAGAGCCGTGTTTACAGGTTCGCCGGGTGGCGGTGGTTATGCTAGAATGTGACCCTTTGTGTGAGTGTCCCACAGCCAAGGTCAAGGGAGATAAGAGAAGGTTTACCCAAATGTCATTGTCCTTTTGTCATGCTTTTTTTTTTTTTTTTTGTAGAGACGGCGTTGAAGGTGGGGTATATAAAGCGTGTTCGAAATAAACTTTGCAGCTGAGTTTGAGACGTTGCCTCCTCTTTTACTACCTTCTGTTGTGTTCTCTTTCTGCCCCAGTCTCAGGTTTACAATCCTGTTCAACTTACACCAGCTCGCCTGCACTCTGACTATTTTTTCGTTAAGAGGTAGTATTGTTGACAGGGACGTAGGCTTGCCTATTGGGCAAATAGCTTTTTAACTAATTGTATACCTAACCACATTCTCCGTAAGGGGAAAGCTTTTTATAAGAGAATGTTGCAGTTGACTACGTCGAATGCCTTACTCAGGTAAAAATAAAAGACGTGAAGCTGACCTATATCACAAACTACTTCAGATGCAGCAGACGTAAAAGATACAGGAGAGAAAAAGATCTCACTCTGCCGGCCATGAAGCTATGCTGATTAAGAGTGATTATACTACGAAACTTGAAGGAAAGGGATTGATGGATCACCATTTCAAAGAGTTTGAAAAAAGAAGAGAGAAGAGAAATCGGTCTGTAGTAAAGAACGTCACCACAATTTTCAGATTTCAGGACCGGAACAACCACTGCCCCTCTCAAGTCGTCAGGGTATATTCCTGACGTCAAGGAGCTATTAAAAATTGTGCAGAAGATAGGCGTAAATAATTCATGATAACCCTTAACAATTGCAGCGGGTACCCCGTCAGGACCTGCAGACAATGCGGGTCTCATTTCCTTGATACATAGCCTAACATATTCCTCATCGAGAACTGCGGAACCTAATGGGTCAACAAACCCGTCCGAGTGAGGCAATACAGTAGAGGAACAGTTGTTATTATTATTATTGTAGACTGACGCCAAGTGATCCGCAAACAACTCAAACATGACATTCGCACTGTCGCTATGCTGATTCGAGACGATTTCGGAGTCAATAATCTTTCCCAAGCGCGATTTAGCGTACCTCCAAATTTATTGGGATTTTTTACGAGATCTGATTCTACTGAGACACAATGCGCCTGGCGATCACGGTTTAAAATTTTTTTTCATCGCTTTCTGAAAATTATAAATTCAACTTCCCACTTTGGAAGACCACTTTTCTTAAACCTGATGTGCTAAAAATCCTTTTTTGCTTTAAAAGCTTCCTGAGGTCACAAAATAACCAGTGAGGGAGGAGAGATTTTTCAGATGTTCTGAGAGGGATCTATATGGCCATGATCTCCTGAAACCACTTGTAAGGAGATATACTTCGTCGTTGACATCAGACGACTCCAAGATAGAAGCCCAGTCAACACTCGATAGGTGGTGATACATTCCAGTGTTTATACGATGTGTGTGAGGATTGTCCATTAGAAGGACTGAGGACCGGAGGATCAAAAATAGAAAGAACTACATCAAGAGCAGGGTGATATCTATCTTCAGGAACCATAGAAAGTTCACTTCGAGCCACACGTACACCATTCGTGTTTGAAAATAATAATAATAATAATAATAATAATAATAATAATAATAATAATAATAATAATAATAATAATAATAATAATAATAATAATAATAATAATAATAATAATTGTGGCTCACTTTAAGATTGATTTCGGAGAGCACAGACATTGTTGGGTCTGTCCTTGTGCTACTGCTTCGTACAGTATTCGCTTTGAGTGCGTCTCAAACGTTTTACATTACTGCGATTCCTCTTCATTGTCAACAAGACCTAGAAATTGTATTTTGTTATCATTCAGCTCAGTGTACGTCGTGTATGGTTATATTCAGTTTCTGTATAGCGCATTGCTCTTTTCTATTTGTGTGTTTTATGTATTCATGTCCATTCGGTGTGCCAGTACCAAGACCGAAAGGTTGTTCCTGGGCACTATAATGAACATTGATTGATTGATTGATTATTATTATTATTGTTATTATTATTATCATTTACCGGAATCAAGACCGCATAGGTGTTCCTGGACACCCAATACAAATTGATCGATTGATTTCCAGCGGAGCTGTTAAGGACTAGGTTCCCCAGGATCGTGTCGGGTACCAGACAAATGTCGACACAACACTCTGGTTTCCTCCGTTGCTCATAGATGGCGGCAGCTGTCCAGAGTGTTGTGTTTTCCCGTTGTCTGCTTGCCGCCGTCGCTCATAGATAGCCGCGACCTTTCCAGCCTTTCCACTCTGGCTTGCCGACTCGCGGACGGCCATTACATCGTTTCCCCCATAGTACAGTTTCGCTGGTCTTCCTTCTTCACCAGAGTGAAAAGGCGGAAAGTTTATTATTTTCAACTTTTGCGTGGGCGCTTGCTCGGTGTTTTATAGCTGGTTTAATGCTTCGATGAAGCCGGGCTGCATCGAAGCTAAACTGGTGCTCGATTTGTCAGATGTGCTCCACGGTCTGTTTTCAGTATAAGCTGGAAGAATCGGCCTGGACCTTGCTGTACTCCACCGACCTGAGTGGGGGCCTCGGAACGGCCATCGAGAAGTCCACAGCCGTGGATCCGGACGGAAACTTCGCATATTTTCTGACGGGCAAGAAGGTATATCGGGGCACTCCACTCAAGTCTTCATTTATCTGTAATTTCTTAACGAATTAAGCCGCTCTATTTGACACAGAGCGGGTCCCCCAAAGCAATATTTCTTAAGTTTTTTAGAGCGCAGCTCTTAGGGGCCCGTTCCCGGCTTGAGCGGCGTCGGCGTCGCCGTCGGCGTCCGCGTAACCAAGGTCATCCCAGGGTCACGTGGCCCCCCAAGGTCATCCTAAGGTCACATGACCCCCAGAGGTCACGTGGCCCCTCCCCCAGGGTCACGAGACCCCCCCCCCAGGGTCACGTGACCCCCAAGGTCACGTGACACCCATGACCCCCCGAAGTCACGTGACACCCCCCCAGGTCACGTGACCACCCCAGGGTCACGTGACCCCCGCCGAGGTCACGTGACCTCCCCGATGACGTCATCGTCACTGATGACCTCACCGGCATCCGGTGAGGTCATCGTTTTGCGAAAAAAAAAAACCGCTAAAAAATATTTTTCTTGAATGGATGCATGTAAATAGTGGTGTTCAATCCTTTATAAAAGCATATGTATATATATATAAATATAAAAAAAGTGTTGCACCCCGTTTGGAACACGGAGCGCAGCCAGTTTTAGTTTGCTCCTAGGGCTCCTAGAGAGTGCTTCCCCGCGAACCATTCGACAATGACGCCACGGTTTCAAAAATAATCTACGAAGGACTGCTTCAGCCCTTTTTAGGCCACCGCAATTGCTCCAAATTGCCACAAGCGTTGTTCTTTGTTGCAGTCACTTATGGCCTCAAGAAAAGGAACATCAACTGATATGGCTCGTGCATGTGATATCACTAAGATACATGTATATTACACCGAAAATACGAACATCATACAACTGGAAATTTACGCGGAACTCCGGTGGCCGGCCTTCAAAATATGCGCTCTCAATCTGCGGCCAAAATGGTGTTAAAAGGATTTGTTTGGCTAAGTTCGTCATCACAAAGGAATCTTAAACCGAGTGGCGGTCTTCTTTCAGGTGGTGCGTGTTCCGGTGGGCTTGTGTTCTCTCTACGAGAGGTGCTCGGACTGCATGAACAGCACCGAAGACCCGCTGGTGTGCGGCTGGTGCGGTTCTTATTGCGCCACTTTTGACGAGTGCCCTCCCACTACAAACTTTATCGTGCAAGGCTGTCCCATTCTCCTGAAAAAGGCGAGTGACACACTACAGCGCTGTCAAAGCGATCCAGCTTGTGCGAATTATGTCAGTATTCGTATAAAAAATCCTTCGCAATTTTTTGTTTTAATTCTTTCTTTTTTTTTTTGGGGGGGGGGGGGGGGGGGGGGGGGAATCGAGAACCAGCGGTGGCTTCATACCGGTTGCAAAAAGAAAAAAAAGAAGAAACTGTTTGATAGCGTTTAATGGGGTTGGTAAACAAACTTAATCGAAATCCTTAATGCCTCAGTGAATCGATAGTCCGGACGAAGGTTCTCCAAACGCCGCATGTGTCTCCGCAGGTGTCGCCGACCAAGGGTCCCAGTTCCGGAGGCACGCTCCTGACCCTGGAGGGCGACAACTTTGGCTCCCCCACGCACAAACCTCACAGCTCCATCCAGATCACCCTGGGCAACAAGCCCTGCGCACTGGTCCACTGGAATTTCACCTTGTCAGTAGCGCCTTTCATCTGAGTCTTAGCGTGGGCAATGGTCCACGAAACTCGCTTTATCGGGCAGCAACCAGCACCTTGGAGAAATAATCATGCGTGTAAGCTGGAGAAGTGTACGCTATCATGTCATGTGGGCATGCCAAAGACCATCGAAATTTAGAGGCGTTGGCGATTCATGCAAGTAGGAGTCAAAAGCGTATACATTATACAGCGTGTCTGGTGCACTTGATGAACAAGGTACATCTCTATATCTGGAAAGGGTATGTCAACATAGCAGCTGATGGCAAATGTCACTTTTTATGAGCATAACGACTTGCATGACATACTGTAGGCCCTTAAAGATTGCGCAGGGAATTTTATATGCAACGTTTATAATAACAGTTCTTGCCATTTCATTAAAACAAAGTTTATTTTCAAAGGCTTTTATCTACTAGAGGTTTTATGAGTGCATTTCCTATGGTATATTCCTGCATATAATGATAACCAGAGACCAAGAACTGTTTCGGTCAAAACTTCGATGCTGGCCTCAAGTTGCAGCAATGTTAAATATTTTGTTTCTGAAACATCGTCGACCAGAAGACTAATGGTATATTCGGCTGGTCACTTTCGAGCACTCCAATCATCCGAGTCGTAGCTACCAGATCCCGGAGCGCCTCCGCATCGGAGCGAGAGAATCGGCGCGCCCAGCCGAACGCTCTTCAACTTTTCAGAGCGGCAAGCCGAGCGGATAGAGGGTGGCGTGCGCCACTAGAGGACGGCGCGGGCCACCCTCTAGCGGAACTTCTGCTCTTTGGATTCTAAGGGTTGAGCAGTATTCAGTGATCCATCCATCCGTAAACCCTTGAAAAATGGCAACCATCAATGCGGACGCTGATAAGGTCATCGCAAGCCAGCCGTGCCAAGCGGAAGTTCCTGCGAAACTATCAAAAAAAGACAACATTACAGCTTGAAAACTCTCGTACTTTTGTACTTACCGCTTTGTCCGAGTAGGTTCGCACTATAAAAACACAGGCCTTGACCTTGGGCACCGTACAAGGCAACGTTGGTACAAGGCAACGTTAGGTACAAGGTGCGTCAAACAACTCGGGAAACTTCGCTTCGCATGCACGGTCCTCGTCGTCGTAGTCCGAGCTGCTGGTGTTGTCGCTGTCTGCTAGCTTCGCCAGCAGCACTGGCGGTGCCACCACTAACATTAAACGTCTTCGTTTCAACGACATTTCACCTCAATTCGGGGAGCACAACACAACGGTGACGGCGTCGAGACTGACGGCTGTTTTTCGCAGCCCTCTTTTTGTGGAGTAGCTGCGTTCTCGCCGTTCGCTTCCGACACAAAAGCAAAATGGCGGAATGGCTGGAGTCACCTGACCGGTCGGCAGCCAGATCTCTCGCGCGTTCCCACTTCCAAGTCAGAGCGCCTCAAACCGCTCCGATTCGGAGGCCGGCGAGAGTCGGAGCTTCGAGAGCGCTCCGAAAGAACCAGTCGAATATACTTGGAGCGCCTGGCATCGACCAGCCGAATGCACACCGGCTTTTTAGAGCGCCCCAAGAGGCCGAAAAACGACCAGCCGAATATACCATAACAGTCCAGACAAGTAGGAGTAACGGTCGTAGTCGATTGTGATAGGGACAACTTAAAAATAAATCTCCTAGTATCCTTAAATTGGCATTCGACGTTTCCCTAAGCCATCTGCTTCACGACCCAGAGAACTTTGTCTCTCAGCTTAACGTCCTCTGAACTCGTAATACTGCAGTCGCTTAGAACCGTAAAAAAAAGTTGATATATCGTGGTGTATGTACTATAATTTCTGAATTTCCTTTGCTGTCTGGTTAGGTTGTCATGTGTTTTTAAAGCGGTAGCCTTAAAGCCCAACCACGCACAAGATCACGTAATGCCCGTGGCGAAGGTGTAAGCTCCAGTCGGGTAAGTTTCGGTTGCGTAAGCTCGTAAACGCCGGTAGCTAAAGCTCGCGTGACCTTACGTCGCTGACGTCGTCCTAGAGGTAATCCCTGAAGTCTTCCTAGACGCCATCTTTGAGGTCGTCCCAGAAGTCGTCCTAGACGTCGTCAATAACATTGACCTATAAGACGTCGTCCTAGACGCCGCCTTTGACGTCGTCCTTGACGTCATCCTTGAGGTTGCCCTAAAGGTAGTCCTCGACTTTGTCCTACACGCCGTTCTTGACGTTGTGTTCGACGTTGTCCAAGAGGTCTTCCTAGGCGTCGTACTTGATATCGTCATCTATAACGTTACCCTTGACGTCCTCGTAGACATCGTTCTTGACGTTGTACTCGACGTCGTCCCAGATATTGTCCTTGAAGTCGTCATAGACGTCGTTTTCGACGTCGTCCTCAAGGATGTCGTCCTATTCGTCGTTGTTGAGGTCGTCCTAGAGGTCTACCTAAACGTCGTCTTTGAAGCTGTAATTTAGGGCCTTGTCCTAGACGCCGTCCTTGACGTCGTCCTTGATGTGTGTGCGGCTTTACAACCATTTAATAGCTGTACCATTTCCTTTCCTAATATTTTTCACTAACGATGCTCCTGTAAAGCTACGGCATTCCATCGCGTTTAGCAGAATGTCCATAGAGAGAGCCAATTTTAAAGCGGTAGCTTTATAGGCCCAACCATGCTCAAGGTGACCTTAGTATCCTTAAGGTTACGTGCCGCCCGTCGCTGAACTCTAAGTTGGCGGAATCAAGGTGACGAAGTGCCCGTGGCAGAAGTGCAAGGCCGCGTAATCAAAGTCACGTAAGCGTCGGTTGCGTAAGCTCCGTTCACGTAAGCTGGGTTGCGTAAGCTCGTCAGCGCCAGTAGCTTAAGCTGCCGTGACCTGACGTCCTGACTTCGTTCTCGACGTCGTCGGAGAGGTCGTCCAAGAGGAGGCTTTTGAGGTCATTGCAGAGTTCGTCCTTGAGGCACATTCTTTACGTCGTTTTCTGGGACGTCATCCTCGACGTCATCATTGACGGCGTCTTTGACGTCGCCCTAGAGGCCCTCGATGTTGTGCTAGACGCCGCCCCAGATGTAGTCTTTGAGGTCGTCCTAGAGGTCGTCCTACACGTCGTTCTTGACGTCGTCCTCTATGATATTATCCTCGACGTCACCCGAGGCGACGCCCTCGAGGGCGTCTCAGAGGTCGTCTTTGACATAGTCTAAGACGCAGTCCTTGATGTCGCTCTCAACGCTGCACTTGACGTTGTCTTAGAGGGCGTCCTCGATGAGTACACGGCATATTACAACCATCTCATCACTGTACCATTTCCTTTCCTAATTGTTTTCACTAACAATGTTCCTGTGAAGCTACCGCATTTTATCGCGTTTGGTTGAATTACAAAGCTGAAACAATTTTTTTCTGTGTGGTATTTTTGCTTTACAGCGACGCTGTTTATGGCTAGGGTCCCGTAAGATTTTCGTGTGCGGCAACAAAAATAACGTCACGGTGTCGTGATGTCATTTTTGTTGCCACACAAGTAAATGATGTCACGTCTTTGTGGCGTCATTTTTGGATGCAAGAAAAATGACGTCACGACTTCGTGTCATGTCACCCCCGAACAAATTCAGCGGCAGGAGGAGAGGAGGAAAGGAGGAGGAGGAGGAAAGCGCACCGCCCTCACCTTGTTGTTCCAAGTGTTTGAGGGCCTAGTTTCCTTTCCTTCCGCCGGGTGGCGGTTCCGTCATGCGAGTCTAGTTCCCTCCGGCTCCTCGGGGAGGCGTTAGTCCTCGACATGTATGCGCGTACCGTTCATCACGACGACCACCGATCAAGACAAAAATCTGTTCGTACTTTTGTTCAAAATTCTGTGTCACATCTGTGTCGTGTGCTAAAACAGCTTTGCTGGTTATCCACCTTCACAAGGTCGAATGGCTCATCATATTTTTTTTTGTTTCTCACTATAATGCGTTGCACCCCCTCTGGCTGTCAGGCACCGCGCACGAGTATCCCCGTATTTTTGCGGGCCTGTGCATAAATGCATAATTTTAATCCGCAATTTTTATTTATTTGTCATTAAAAACAACAACAACAGAACGACCGTTATGTTTGTTGAGAGGTTTGCAGAGTAATCCTTTTCTAAGCTGTAGAAGGCACAGTTTTACACGCCTCTCCCGGTATCGGTATATCTTTGGGACTACTGAACGAAAAACTTTCAGCCTTTCCTCTCTGGTGAAGAACAAAGACCAGCAAAGCAGTACCATGGTGGGAGGACCTCAAGGACGTCTTCTTGAACGACCTCAAGGATGACGCCTAGAGGACGACGTCTAGGACGATTTCAAGTACGACTTCTTGGACGACTTCTAGGATTACCTCAAGGACAGCGTCTGGGACGATCTCAAGGACGACCTCGAGGACGACCTCGAGGATGACATCAAGGACGACCTCAAGGATGACGTCTAGGACGACCTCAAGGACGACTTCTAGGGCGACCTCAAAGACGACGCCTAGAGAAATTCAGCCTTTCCAGTCCGGTGAAAACCAGAATGGAAAGGCTGGAAAGGTTGACGCCATCTATGAGCGACGGCGGCAACAAGACAACCGGTTTGCTCATAGTTGGCGGTAGCTGTTCAGAGTTTTTTCCCGACATTTATTTGGTGGCCCGACACGAAACTGAAAAAACTAGCCCTTAACAGCTCCGCTGTAAAAAAAGGTTGCTGGTTCGATGCCAGCCGAGGGAAAAGAGCGAAAATTCTTTTCGGGGGAATATTAAAATTATCAGACGTTACGTAAACGTTTTGGTACCTTTGGTGTCGCCAGCGTGTTTCCGCTCAAGGACATTGAAGGTCTACTGAGCGATGAGACATATGAGCCTTTCGCCTTAATAAAAACAACCGCAAAGTATTAGCCGGCCTATGTGCGGGTGGAAACTGAGGAAGGGGAGGTTATGAGGTCGTGCGGAGACGTCCGAACATCGAGTCCTGGTTGGAAGGATTAATTATTCAAACGCGTTGGAACGCCATTCGCCGGGTTAAGGTATTCGGCGCTCGCGTTCGAACAGTGAGTAGAGGCAAAGGCGGCTGGCTTTGAATCTTCCCACTAATCATTTCCAACCGGAGCTCGACGTTGTGACGCCTCCGCGCATTCTCCTCTCCTCCTCTCCCTCACATTCTGCCCGCAATAGTTTCAGCAGCGTGCGAAATACGAAGCACCTTGGGACGAAAGTTTGACGCGACTGCTCGCGCAGTGTGCAGTGCAAGACGCCGGCCGGCAAGAGCGACACCCTGGTGGACATCATGGTAAACGTGAACGACACCTACTGGGACACGGAAAAGTCCTTCGACATCCTGGACAGGAAAGTGGCTGCCACGGCATTCCAGTACCAGGTGGGCGCTGCTCGTTCGGAGCAATCTGTCTACGCATTAACCCTACGGAAAGCTAGAGTGTGGTACAGCCTGTTTGGCCACAAATTCGAACAGGGAGATCATCGCTCCGCAGAAAAAAACCACGCGACGCCAAAATCTCTTTGCTCGAATGTGGCGCTATACTTGGTTTCACGGAAAGTTCGACTACGATCCGATAGAATCCGTTCAAGCTACCCCAAAAGTGTATCGTGACGGCACTCGTCGCCTTTGCGCGTTTGCTATCTGGCGACTAACCAATCGCTCACAGGGAAATCGCCGCCATCCTGCGTGTTTATCTCCGCATGATTGATTCAGCCGGTGACACGCACAGAAACGACGAACGCAGCTACGATGCAATTTCGGCGTTGCTTAACTCTGTTTCACACTTAGCGTGCACCGCTGTCAAAGCTATTGGAGCGAGCGTGGGGCTTAGTCTCGTTGATCATTTGCATGCGTTCTCGCGCAAACAAAACCATATATGAAGCCACGCGCTCACGCCAGAATAGCTTTGACAGTGTTGCACGCTAAGCATGAAACCGAGTATACCTAAATCAGATAGCAATGTCGGCTAGGTGCGATCGGAGTGAAACGGAGGATAGCTATTTGGATAACGTGCGAGGGTATTTGAAAAATGGCAACTTGCGGAGCCAGTGGGTACGTTGGAAACGAATTGCATCTGCTACCAAGAAGCGGACGTTGTTTTCTTGTTTACAAATTTCCAGAATACAACCGCTAGCCTTTCACTTGGGTGAACTTGAAAGTTTCGGCGCGGCATGGTCTATTGTTTGCGTTCGCTTTCCTTGGCTGACGCTGCATACGTTTCGTGCCTGCAGATGTCCACGTTCAGCGGCATAACCCCGAGCTACGGGCCCAGAGCAGGCGGCACGAGCATTGCGGTGCACGGGACAAACCTGGACAGCGGCGCTTTGCCGACGGTCAGCGTCGGAAGCCACCCGTGTCACATCCACAGGTGGGTCTGGGGAGTCCCTTCCAACGAAGCCCCCGATGAAACGGGCGCTGGGGGTCTTCCCCGAGGCTCGTAACCTAAGGTTTTACTTCTTTTTTTATGTGTGCAAATTCGACGATCGAACAATTAAACTTAATTCGTGTTTTTTTTTTCTTCTTCTTGCATACAAAACCTCCAGTTTGTAACACAATGTCAAATTTGGGAGTTTTACGTTCCAAACCAACGACGGGAATCCGGCATGCCCCAGCGGAGGACTGAGGATTAATTTCGACCACCCGGGGATCTTTTGACGTGCAACCGAAATCTCGGTTACCACGGCGCCTTCTCCGCAATAAGCCTCCATCAGATTGCGGGAACCTCGGCCGGGGTCCCCTTCCCCCCCCCCCCCCCCTCCCGCCCCCCCAACCCGACATATAGATCCAGTTTCATATTAAACGGAAGGAATAAATATGGTTTTTGTTGTTGTTGTTGTCATTGTCGTTGACACGTTCTTTATATGGCCTTGTATACGTGCACTCTTGCAATAAACATCTCTGCAGGCCTGTGTTGCGATAATCATGAATAAATAATGAATGTATAAGGAGATGCCAGAAATAGACTCCAATTTGTTTTGTATTTAGTCAGTGAGAAGGGCGAGCGGTGACCGGCCCCAGTGGTTACGCTGACTGGCAGAAAAACGTCCACGCCTTTCCCCACTGAAGCGCCGTGATCTTTGGAGTAGTGTACCGAGCATCTGTCATCGCAGAGCAGTTTATAGACCTTTCCAGCGGCAGTCTCGAACGAAGCGATTTACAGCGCGCGTCCCTGGTTTTGAGAGTGTACGTCAGTGTTGCCCGACTGCGCTGAGCTGTGGAGTTTCTTGTCAGTGGGTATAGTGGCAGCCTGCGTAAGCGCAAATCCGGACGCTGGTAGCGGCTGAATTGCCGCGTTTTCTTTTTTAATTTGTGTTCTGTGGCGAACATAATTTATAGAGGTCTTTAAAGGGCCCCTGAAAAGAAGAAAAAAGTTTTTCAAAAACAGTCTGGTTGAGACACGCGTGTCAAAAAATGAATTTTACGCGAAAAAAAAAATTTTTTTAGAGCAATATTGACTGCGCCAGACGCAATTTAGTCGGCAGTCACCTCCTTTCCACTTTTCTCTCTCTCGGCATCTCGGGCGCGTGGAGGAGAGGTAGTCCCCGCCTCTTCGTAGTGGATCGGCTTGGCTGCTTTCCTGGCTTGGCTGCGCCCCGCACGAGAGCCATTGCTACTTCCTGGCCGTGTTCCAAAATTGACTCGATCTTACCCCAGGGTGAGGGTTTTGTACTCTTGGCGTTCTAAAACCTACCCGCGTACAGCGTTTTTCAATCTGTGCTGTCACGTGATACGATCCGCCGGAGAAACTCGGATGCATTTGGAGATTTGGAACACAGCCCCTGGCCGGCTGTCTGCCGGTCGAACGACATACCGCGCCGTATCGTGCACGTACCGTGGTCACCGTGGTCGTACACACAGTACATAGTCGTCGCGGTGGACCCCGACCTGAAGCGTCAATTGCTTCAACGCTGCCAGCAGCTGGGCCTTCGTCCGTACGAGGACACGCCTCGCCAGCCGGAAGGCGTCCGCTCCGATCGCCGCGAGGCACCCGCTTCGCCGCGGCGAAGCGGGTGCCTCGACGAGTTCGTTCGAGCCGCACGATCCTTCAAGCCGCCGCGAGGACACGCAGTGGTAACTGATTTTTTTTTTTTTTATTAAACGTTGAGTGCGGTGCCGCGTGCCTCACTAAACTCTTTACGGGAACCACGGGAACCGACATCTAAACAAACATTGGCACTGGCGCGCGCCAGAAAACAAACAAAAGATGAGGTAAACGGGACACACGAATCGCGCAAAGAAGAGCAGAAAAACAGAAACCTGTCACCCCGCGCCACTTCCTAAGTACTTACTATGACTGACTAACTAACACAAGCAACAAGCCCTCTTCAGAACGCGAAACGCGAAGACGGCGACCACGACAGAAAACAAAATGGCGAAGCTTTTGTTTGTTGTTTTGTTGTGGTATCCGAACGGAAGTTACGATTTTGTAAAACGTTTGTAAACAATTGCGACATTCATTCGATGGATTGTTTCTTAAACCTAAAAATATGTAATTCAAAAGGCGATTTTAAAAAATCACGAAGATTTTAAAACCAACATCTAAGCTGTCACTCATTCTATTGGCCAATGAGAAGCTGAGTTGAATGACCATCGCTACCAATGAGAAGCCGAGCTGAATGACCATGGAATTTGCGCGCAAAACTTCAAATAAATCCCTCGCCGTCAATATTGCTCTAAAAAAATTTTTTTTTCGCGTAAAATTCATTTTTTGACACGCGTGTTCCAACCAGACTGTTTAAAAAAAACTTTTTTTTTTCTTTTCAGGGGCCCTTTAAGGAAGCAGTGCTCTATTTTTGGGAACAAAGACAAAGAAATGAAAGCTGTTTTCGTGAGTCCGTGCGCGACAGAACAAATGCAACTGGAATGTTTGTTTCATTTTATGTTCATCGTTTTACGGCACCGTACACTCAGCCGTGTCAATCTATATAGGTCAAAATATTTGACCACACAGGATATCCGTACTGCATGGATATTCCCCGCCCACAACATGAAATTCAATGAGTCTCATCAATCGAACAAAAAATATATTGTACGTACCCCACGGTGCCGCGTTATCCGAACAGGATTTGAGAAAGGTCTCAAATAACACAGCATATCCAATATACAGTGTCGACGATAGTCACTTCACGACAATCAGACGGAATCCGGCGTGTTTTGGGGAGCATGTAGAAGAGAGCAGCTTTTTTGCACTTCTTCAAAGTAAACGAATGAACGTGTCTATTCTGTCCCCCCACCCCGAACCCGACCCGATCAGCTATTTTTCGCGAAGACCCGGAAGCCGGAACACAGCCTGGAAGGCTTTTTGGTGATTATCTCGACAGAAATAATCCTCCAAGAACGTCGAACTGCCTGCGTCGCGGGCTGCTTGACGTTCGCTCTCTTCGTTCGTTTCCTGCGTAGGCCGAGCAGGCTACGAGCCCTGGTATTCCCTGGTTCTCACAGTGGGAGATAACATACAAAGGGTAAGCATCCTAAACAGGCGAATAAAGTAAAAACTTCCAAGAAAAGCCGGCTGACTCCGAATGCAAAATGCAGGTGGGGAGTCGCGCTGACCGGGTTTCCACAGCTCAGGCGGGTGCCAGAAAGTTCTGGCTGACAGGGGTCGCTCGATTCGCAAAATGACGGCGGCCAGAGCGCTCTTTTTGGAAAGGTCTATACTCGGAATGCTTTAGGGCTGTATACAATCGTGAGCGCGAAACGAACATTCCTTAGTTATAGTCAATGTTCCGCTATTCCGCTGTTGATCACTTCGTTTTAAGTGTGTACCGCTTAAGGCCCTGTCACATTGAGGAAACACGGCGGAAACATGAACAAAACATGTTTCTCAACAGTCGGGAAACATGTCGGCTGTCGGCTCTGTTGCCCGACAACCCTGTCACATTGAGGAAACAGCAACACAACATGGACGACAGCGACAATGTTGTCTCGGTGTGACAGCTTTTGGCAACGGAAACCTCGACAACATGTGTCGGACGACACGTGTTGCCCATTTCGGTGGCTGAGCGAATTTTTTTTCCAGCAACACGGCAACATCTATATTTTTCTCTACAGAAAGTGGCACGAGAATACTTCAATAATAACGTCAAGCGTGAAGGGCAATTTTGAACGCGGCTTCTTGCGCGGCGGCAGCTGATCGTCAAAATCATCTGGATCGATGGCACAAAGAAGCACCCTGTCACACTGCGGAAACAGTCAGAGAACTTTGTCCTTCAACACGAGGAAAACATGTTTTCGGGGACCCTGTCACATTGCGGAAACAGCAACAGTCCGGAAACATGTTGTTGTAGTCCGAAAACCATGTTTCCCAACTTGTTCTCCGACACTCGGGGAACATCCTGTCACACCGAGAAAGCGTGTTGGAAGAACACAAATTGCCTCCTCTCCTGCGTGCTGCCTCCCTCTCTCTTTCGCCCTCGTCTGCCCGGCCGGCTCGGCTAAGCTACAAGCGCGAGCTCCGGGCTTTCAGCATCCCTGCCAAGCACGCGCGCTCGTGCAGTGCAAGCACTGTTCTGGGCCAGATGCTCGTGCGGCTGCGTCTGGACCGAAGCTGAAACGAAGTATAGGCGGCTAGGCTCAGATCCGCTGGCTCCGCTCGCCCCTTGAATCGTTGCCATTTTGGATCGCCGTCTCATTGCCGTCGCTCTACCGTAGTCGATTCATCAGCCGCGCGGACCATCTCGTGTTCTCTGGATTTGGCGGTTGCGTTCTGCTACAGGGCTAGACCCTTGCACGATGGCATACGCGCGGGCCACAGCAGCAGCTTCTGCTTTGGTGCTTCTTTGTGCCATCGATTCAGGTGATTCTGACGATCAGCTGCCGCCGCGCAAGAAGCCGCGTTCAAAATGGCCCTTCACGCTTGAAGTTATTATTGAAGTATTCTCGTGCGACTATCCGTGCAGAAAAATATAGATGTTGCTGTGTTGCTGGAAAAAAAATTCGCTCAGCCACCGAAATGGGCAACACGTGTCGTCCGACACAAGTTGTCGAGGTTTCCGTTGCCAAAAGCTGTCACACCGAGACAACATTGTCGCTGTCGTCCATGTTGTGTTGCTGTTTCCTCAATGTGACAGGGTTGTCGGGCAACAGAGCCGACAGCCGACGTGTTTCCCGACTGTTGAGAAACATGTTTTGTTCATGTTTCCGCCGTGTTTCCTCAATATGACAGGGCCTCAAAGCAGAAGCTGCTGCTGTGGCCGGCGCGTATGCCATTCTGCAAGGGTCTATCCCTGTAGCAGAACGCAACCGCCAAATCCAGAGAACACGAGATGGTTCGCGCGGCTGATGAACCGACTACGGTAGAGCGACGTCGATGAGACGGCGATCCAAAATGGCAACGATTCAAGGGAAGAGCGGAGCCAGCGGATCTGAGCCTAGCCGCCTATACTTCGTTTCAGCTTCGGTCCAGACGCAGCCGATGCTACAAGCGCGAGCATCTGGCCCAGAACAGTGCCTGCACTGCACGGGCGCGCGTGCTTGGCAGGGATGCTGAAAGTCCGGAGCTCGCGCTTGTAGCTTAGCCGAGCCGGCCGGGCAGACGAGGGCGAGAGAGAGAGAGGGATGCAGCGCGCAGGAGAGGAGGCAATTTGTGTTCTTCCAACACGCTTTCTCGGTGTGACAGGATGTTCCCCGAGTGTCGGAGAACAAGTTGGGAAACATGGTTTTCGGACGACAGCAACATGTTTCCTGAATGCTGCTGTTTCCGCAATGTGACAGGGTCCCCGAAAACATGCTTTCCTCGTGTTGAAGGACAAAGTTCTCCGACTGTTTCCGCAGTGTGACAGGGCCTTAAGGGGGGGGGGGGGGGGGGGGGGGGGAGGCACTCACTTGATCGAATGACGTTTTAGCGAACGCCCACGTTTCATCGAACGACACTTTAGCGAATAGTCGGACGCCTCGAAGCGGCGTTTTCGGGTGGGCCAAGCGAGTTCATATTTTTGTAATGAGTTGCCGCAGACTGTCGCCGCGAAGCGGCGTAAAGCGCAGCGCGACGGATGGGTTAACGCGCGCCCCCGTTATTCGCTAAAACGACCATTCGCTCAAATGTCGCCGTTCGCTAAAATGTCATTCTCTCTTGTGATATGGACCCTTAAGGGGGACATACAGTCGTACTGAAAAGGTTGCCCAGCGGAACAAACTTCTTACTGGAGCATATGTGGCTGGTAGCAAAACATTTTTGACACCCGATCAAGGCTGGTGACAAAATGTGTGGTTGATAGTGAAACATATTTGGTGGTGAACATTAAAAGCGAAACGTAGTGGGTATTGAAACGTAGTTAGTGAAACTGTTGAGACTTGATAGGTTTTACCAATAGAAGCATGGGTTAGTTAAAATATTTGCTATACTCCAGCATAGCTGCTAGAGGCGGACACCGCTGGTAGTGCAGTATATCTCGTAGTCGAACATACTATAATCGGTAAGAAACACAGTTGGTGGTAGAACAATGTTGCTAGTGCAATGAATTTGATCGACACAGCCGGTGGTCGTAGCAGTACTGTTGATGGCCGTTCAAAGCTGGTGCTGCACCATAGACCACTCGCCGTCTCGTGTGTGTCTTTTCTCGTCTCCATATATAAAAAGCCAACAGTCTTGCTCCCCTGACTCCCCGGTGAACGAACGCGCAACACAGGTGCGCCATACTTCTCAAGATAAATGTAGGGCGACATCTTCGCGTCTGTACCACCTAGGAGCAGGACTGCTGGCGCAAAGATGTACAAAGATAGGCTCCGATAGGAAACCGGAACCTATAGAAAAGCGTCCTAATTGAGTCCCTTTTTCGGAGCGTCGTAAAATCCTGCCCCCGCAGGTGCCTTATATTGTATCTTTCTAAAGGAGGTTAATTTAGTGTTTTTTATGATGCTTAACAAGTTTCTCATTGAAGCTATTTGTCTGTTTTAGCTAATTAAAAAGCTAATTAGTAAACTTTACCTAATTATTTAGCTAATCGGTATGTTTTTGCAATCCGTAACGTCCGCCACGGCTGGCAGTTTGATCCCGGAAAAAGTTCATTTTTGGCAAACCTCCTAATTATAGGGAGTTTTGAAAGCCTTCCGTCAAACACCCTATACATGAACGTGACCAATAAACATATCTATACACGCCTTATATAATTTTCCTATGTGCTGATACAGCAAAATTGATAAGTCAGACATAAACAGCGTGGCATTGACTTCGTGTGTTGCAGCGTTACCAACGTGACCATCCTGTGTTCCACGAGTCGACTGAAGGGTTCTCATCCCGGAGGTGACGAGACTCATCGGGTGACCTTGAGGATCGACGGACAGGAAGTTCCCTACGTTTCCATGGAGGGACTCACCGGAACCTTCTCTTACAAGCCGAACCCTGTGGTTAACAAAATCCGCCCTGCGTCTGCCCCATTCAAGTGAGCAATGTCAAACAAATATACAGTGTTTACGGAAACCGTTCACACTGATGTAACGCCTCAGAGAGGTTGTCTACATGCGTCGCTGTGGTGTTATTTTATGGAGCTGTTCCTTCTCTTTACCATAATCTTATTCTTCCCCTCGGATGTGATTAGGATTGTTTGAATCAACGTACCTGCTTAATCACTTTCGTTATTCGATCGTATAATGTTATTACCACAGTATCATGTGAGTCATCTAGCTCGGAGAATAAATCAATGCGCTCATTATCATTCGAGCCTATCTGTAAGGAGTGTTGTTTTAGATATTCTCGGGAAAAGAAGAAGACGAGGGACACGTGAGCGACCCTTGGAGACTGTCAAGTTGTCACCCGATCTCCCTTCACTGTAAATCCCGCTAGCATCAAATCAACGTATGTCTAAGACCCTCGCAAGGTATTGACATTCCCCAACCTGGTGGAGGCGGCGAAAAAGGAATCCGTGTTAAAATGACGGCGCGCAAGGAAAAGGGGGAATATCTTCCTTGGAAACTGTGAAGAATAACTCTGTTAGCCTCGCTGGCGCGACGCGTTATGTATTATGAGACAAGTTGCATTGACAGGCTTTAAAGATGTAGGTCTCATAGCTTGTGACAGATCGAATTTTGAAAATTCCATGTGGGAATACAAGCATGAAACCATTCCTTCGCTATAACCAGAACATCGTAATAATGATAGATTTCTCTCTTAATTACTACAAATCTTTTGTGTGTCACGTAATTTCGTGCATTATGTTCCAAAAAGTAGATTTTCTTCAAACCCCAGGGCACGTTCAGATCTTCAAAAAGCTGTTATTACTACTTTGACGTGTTTCGAGATGCATCTCGTTCATAAGCGGATTTTCGCGTCGCAGAGGGAGGTCTAAGGTTCTGGTGCTGGGAGAGAATTTGGACAGCGTCGTCAAGCCGGTCATGGTGACGCGAGTCGCATCCTTCAACAACAAGCATTATGAAAACATCTCCAAGGTTTGTCAACAGTGCCTTTTGTTAAAAAAGAACAAACAAACAAAAGGTGCATATGTTTCTGCTTTTAAATATGCTTCATATGTGCAGTTAGTGACTTCGACAGTTAGCATGTCAATCGTCGCGTCTGCCAGAAAACTAGCAGGTCTAAGTTTGTGCCAACTACTAACCGACCAGGCTCTCCATGAAAAAAAAACAACACTTAATTTGTGCAAAATTGCGTTTTGCCGTTTAAAGAGCCGTCGATTCTGCCTTGAGGTGGCCCAAAGAAAAATACGTAACATGGTGACTTCTACAAAAGAGTTTATTTCCTTTTTTTCTTGAAAGTTTAATTAAAGCATTTTTGTTCTGGAGAGGAAAAATTCAGCAGCCGATCTTCTCTCTTTTCATAAGCTTCTCTTTTTTCTTTTGTGAGGGGAAGGCAGACTGATGTTTATGGGCTATGTATATCAGAAAGGAGGACATCTCACTCTATACGCAACTGTGTCTGTCCCAGAAGGAAGCAAAGACAGGTACTGTATTTTTTTTTCTTCGATTAGTGGGTTCATTCAAAGTATGCAATGAAGGCCTCATGCGAAGAGAATATGAAAGAAGGAAATACCGCATCTCCACGGTGGTGAATGATGTTGATTGAGGCGAAGCTCGGGTGGTGCTGATGATACTGATTTTGGTCATAGGTAGTGCTAATGGTGCCGTTTTCAATCATGTCAGTAGAAGAATGTGTGGTTTACTTCTTTTTCCTTTTTTTAAGAAGACAGATGGGATGGCGACTCAGAACCCCCTACTCTTGTTGTTGTTGTTGAAGACGTTTATTGATAGGTGAAAATTTCACCAGTCAATTTGTTGGAGCAAGTTTAAAAATGGATGGATAGGCGGGACATTGGCAATTTACAAGTAATAGTATAGCTGTGGTCCCGCCACTTGGAGTATAGACCCCCTAGATATGAATGTCCAAGCCGGTCTCACTCAGAAATCCGAGCAGACTGGACAGGACCGCGACACGCATGTCTTTTTCTCCCACTGGTTTACACCAGGCTTCGAAGCACGTAGGGCGGTGTTGTTGTTCTAGCGTGTTCAGGGCTTTCGTCCTTTCTTCATTAAAAATCGGACAGTGCCAGATCAGATGACATTCGTCACACTTGACGTCTCGATTTCTGCAGTAGATGCAGCCTTCGGAGCAGGCTTCTTCTTCTTTCCTTTGCTTCTTTGACAATAGACTATAATCGCGATCTACTGCCGTTGAAGCGTTGGCGAGTTTCGTCTTCCTCTCACGGGCCGCTCGCTCCCATCGCTGGGTGCGGGCTGGCGTGATGCCGGCTTGGGCCCTTAGCCTTCGGAGGGTGACTGTCTCGTGCCGTCGGAAAGTTCCCGAAGGAATGGTCGCTTCGGGGGGCTCGCCTCTGGCGTTCAGTTTGGTCTGCTCAATTTTCTTGTATGCTAATTTGATATTGAGGATGGTTCCCTCGGGGTCGTACAAGTTGAAGGCGGGCGGTGGCGGTTCCACAGAGGGGGCTGGCCCCGGGTCCTGGCGTCGAAGGTCGATACGATTAAGCTCTTCGATCGCCGCCTGGTGCGCCCTCTCGTTGCCGGCGATGCCCGCGTGACCGGGTATCCACTCCACCCTGATGGTGAGCGGATTTAGGTCGCGCCGTTCCAGGTTCTGCGCCAACCGGAATATTTGTCCGACTGCTCCGTGTGCCATGACTTGCGTCCTGAGCGCTCTCACGGTGGCCTGGGAGTCTGTGAAGATGCGCAGTGTGCGGAATTTGTCGCTCGATGTCGCAGCCGCGTCTTTGATGGCTTCAAGTACGGCTCTGGCTTCCGCTTCCTGCGCAGATCCGCATCGCTGCAGCTCCGTGCTTTTCGTTGTCTTCTCATAATGCCACGCCGCCGTGGCCGCTACTCCGTCTTTGAATGCTGCGTCAGCGTACGCATAAAGCTCGTCGTCACCTCCGTTCTTCTGCTCGTGCCGTCGAGCAAATTTGCGCCTTCTGCCGGTGTTTGTCGCCGAGTTCATCCTTCTCGGGATCGGCCTGGCTGGGGTGACCGTTGTCTTCTGCCACGGTGGGATGGGATCCGGTATCGGTGGTGGAGTTGTCGTTGCACACAGAGAGCTCCATGAGGGCATGAGTTCTGCTATGGCCCTGCCCTGACGGGTATGTGTTAGTTTGGCAGCATACATCCACTCCTGATGCCGTTGGATCTCTTCCAAGGAGAGCATAGGTACGGCTTCGTGTAGTAATTCCAGGCGCGTACACTTCGGCAGGCCCGAGATGCAGCGTCGCGCGTCATTCATTAGTGTTTCCAGTTTGGCCCGTTGATTGGTGTTGAGTTTGTAGAAACGAAGGCCGTAGGATATTTTGGATACCAGGGCGGCTTGTACTACGGTCCTCGCTAACTTTTCTCCGAGACCCCCGACTCGTGTCGCTAGTCGTCGTACGATCGAGAGCCCTTTCTTCCAAGTAGTTCGCATTCGCTCAATCCAGATGGTTGGGTCGCCGCCGGAGTGAATGTTCACTCCTAGGATGGAGTGCTCTGTCGCCTTTTGGATCTGCTGCCCGTTAAAACGCAGGTCAGCGTCGACCTTGTCCCAGTCTTTCCCAAAGGCCATATATCTGGTCTTCTCGGGCGATGGACGAAGGCCGCTCTCTGTCAAGAAATCGCTCACCACGTCGAGGGCCCGTTGGATCGTCGTCTCAGGAAGAGGCGCGCTGTCACTTCCCATCGTCCACACAGTGATGTCGTCCGCATAGACCGTGAATGCTAGGTCCGGAACGGCAGCGAGTCTCCATAAGAGAGGCGCCATCGCCAGGTTGAATAGCATCGGCGACAACACTGATCCTTGCGGCACGCCGATCTCGTTGGATTTCTCTGTACTACTCCTGTGCTTGCCAGTTTTCACCAGGTATTTGCGTCCGCTTAGAAAAGACTTGATGAAGTTCAGTGGCCTGCCTCGCACCCCTAGCTTGCGAGTCGTGTCGATGACTGTGGTGTGCCCCTACTCTTTTTTTCTTCTTTTTTTTTTTGAATAATTTGTTTAACGTTTTTTTTTATTTATTTTTTCTTGCTCTCGCTGCTAAACTCACCAGCGGGAGCTCGTGAGCTCCTGCTCGTGAGCTCACGAGCAGGGGCACTCTGGACGGTTTTTTTTTTTTTTTCATTTTTTTTTTCTTGCTCTCGCTGCTGAACTCACGAGCAGGAGCTCGAGAGCTCCTGCTTGTGAGGTCACGAGCAAGGGCACGCCGGACGGCGGACGGACATACGGACATGGCTAGCCCCTAAAGGGGTATCCACACGAAGGAGAACTCCGCGGACGGAGCTCGTGACGTCAACAACCCGGGGAACTCCGTCCCCGGCTCCGCCGCGTGCACCGGCGGAGCTTTCGTGCTGACAGCACGAAGCCTCCGCGCCTCCGCCACGGAGGAGAATGGCGGCGCGAGGCCACCGAGGCGTCAAAAAGGGATGACGTATGTCTCACGTGATGCGCGCTCCCCGGAGGAAAGGGGCGGATTTCTCCTTCGTGTGGATACCCCTTAAAGGGGTATCCGCACGAAGGAGAAATCCGCCCTTTTCCTCCGCGGAGCGTGCATCACGTGAGACATACGTCATCCCTTTTTGACGCCTCGCGGCGCGTTCTCCTCCGTGGCGGAGGCGCGGAGGCTTTGTGCTGACAGCACGAAAGCTCCGCCGGTGCACGCGGCGGAGCCGGGGACGGAGTTTCCCGGGATGTTGACGTCACGACATCCGTCCGCGGAGTTCTCCTTCGTGTGGATACCCCTTATAGTGTACTCACACGACGGAGATTTCTCTTGGGAGAAAACCGGATACGTCACAGAAAAGCGAGGAGGAAAAGTCACGAGGGTGAGGAGGCGGCGCGGGAAGATCGGGAATATCCGGGCGAGCATTCGCACGACGGGGTGAGCCCGTCAGCCGCAGCGAAGAGAAAGACCGTCGCGCCCCCTACGTTCAAGCGAGGGTATTGCCGTTCGCTTTGCTCCGGTCGCCGGTTCGTGAGTATTCAAACATGGCCGCCTCGAAGCGTAAGTTGATCGGCATGGCCCTGCTAATCGATGAAAGTCTAGACTGTGATCACGCGCCCGCAAAACAACCGAGACCCTGGGCAAGAGAATGGCTCTTGCGAAAGGAAAGGGCTATTCAGAACACGCTACTGCCCGACCTTCGCCTAACTGATCCCAAGGCGTACCGAGAGCTCTTGCGGATGGATGAGGGCACGTTCGAAGAGCTTCTGAGCCTCGTAAGGCCATTAATTAAAAAAGAAGATACCAACATGAGGGAGTCGATCAAGCCCGACACCAGACTGGAACTCACATTGAGATTCTTAGCCACAGGTGGGTTCAGCTTTCTTCATTACGACATCCATGCAGAACGAGCACATTTGCGTCGCGTTTTAATGAAGAATTTCTTTTGACGCTGCTTTATGAACTTCCAATCATAATGATAGTGAAGTGTGTGTGTACCCAGTTGGGAAGCGCGTCGCTTGAAACAAAGCCTTAATCGAAGAGTAGCGTAGCAGGGGAAAGGATTTCAACCCTCAAATAAAGCCGAGTGCAGCAGTGCGTGAAATGTGCTTTCGCAACACGGTCGAGCATGTGCATACTACCTGAATCGAAACTGTAGCGATATAAAATGTCCTCGCTGCGCGTCGATAACTTTGGGGGCTGGCATATCAGCATATCAAAATTTGTATAGCTCATTTTATCGATGCTAAATGATTTGAACCAATTCACAGTTGTTGGTTGTCATCTATTTGATTTTTCATGCTTTTTTATTTATCGATTACTTTGTATCTGGAATTTGACTAGAGCAGCTGGATGGCAAAATTTTAAATTTTATCCCCCCCCCCCCCTCTCCGATGTTTTAAGTCTAAACATATGTGCACTTACTTTCCAGGAGAGAGCCAGAAAAGCCTGGCTTACCAGTTCAGACTTGGCCACGGTACCGTGCACGCAATACTGTGGGAGACGTGCGCAGCAATATGCACC